ATATATATATATATATATATATACACACACACGGTATATGCCTATAGAGTGTAGTCCAGGCATGTCCAGCTCCAGGCCTGGAAGGTTGCTGTCCTACCTGTTTTCCATTTCTTCCGGCTGCAACACACCTGATTCAAATGATCAGCTCATCAGGCAGCTCTGAAGCAGCATTTGAACGATCCTGATGATTTTCTCCCAGTCAGAGGAGGGAGCACATAACTTCTACTTTGGCATCCCTTCAGTGGCTCCCCATACATTTTAGAGTTATTTTTAAGATCCTCTTACTTGTTTTCAAATCTTTAAATGGCCTCGCTCCACCTTACCAACTCTGTTCTGGCGCTGCAAAATATGCAGCTGCCATCTGAAGCTGCTCTAGTGATGCAAGCCATACAGCCGCCTTCACCTCCTGTGTGGACCCTGGGACAGCCACCGGACTGGCCCCGCAAAGAACCTCTGATCTAGTCTCCGGGACGCCCACCGGATTGGTCTCACCAAGAACCTCTCATCTGGCTTGTAGAACGTCCACTGGATTAGTCCTGTCAAGAGCCTCTCATCTGTCTGGTAGGACGGCCACCAGATTGGTCCCACCAAGAGACTCTCGTTTGTCCTCCAGGACGCCCACTTGACTGGTCCTGCCAGGGAACTTCTCGTCTGGCCTTTCCCAAATCAGTCTTTGACTATGGTTTTGATTTTGTATTTAGTTTCATGTTGTCCTCGTTTTTTTTGTGTGTGTGTGTGTGTGCGTGTGTGTGTGTGTGTGCGTGTCTCATTTCGTTATTGTGTCCACCTGTACCCGTTTAACGAATCCTTTGTGTTACCCAATCAGCGCCCTCTTCCACTTATACCCCTTTTCCACCCATAAAACCTGGTGCTCATCTGGTTCCAGAGCCAGTCCTGTGCTTCATTGGTGCTTAACAAGTTCTTATGAAGAACGTGTTTACCCAGGAGCGCTTGTGCTATTAATAACAATAATATAATACCAATAATAATAATAAAAATAATAATTATAATAATAATAATAATGCACTGTTAGCATCTGCTAGGCAACTTAGCATAGCATCTATTATACTTATTTGTAGTATATAACAGTCCAGAACATGCACTCAGTGAATGCTCTTTCTTAATCATTGTAGATGATCACGAGGCTGGCTGCGATCGCTCTTCTGGTGGGATACAATTGTGCTGGAGTTCAATGCTTAACTGTTTGTGCAAAACTTCCGTGTGTCTAGTGAGTCATTCCTCTACATCTGCGATCGTCATGATAAACCCGCTCCCCGCCCCCTGACGTAGTTGATGCCAGAGTTTGGCCCAACAAATATTTGGGGTTAGCTGAAGCACCACCAGAGTGAGAGCTATATCCAATTTCGATGGTAGAAAAAGAAAGAACTGCTAAACTGGGCACTGGCCTGGAACTAGGACTAGCGCGGTGGAAAAGGGCCATTAGTGTACTGTATGTCCACGTATTCCTTGTTGTCTCATCAGTTTATTTGTGTTTAGTTCCTTGCTTTATTTGGTACAATGGATCCAAAGAATCTGATTGCCAAACACTGGAGACTTATGAGAAGGTTTTCTGGAAAAGTCGCATTTGACCGCTGTTTTTACATTCATGAATGTTTCTTTGATTGTAAATGCCAAGGACAATTCTATCTGTTAACGGGCAGGCTGTTGATCTGACCATAAAGTTTTTGTTTGTTCGTTTTGTTTTTTTTTAATGATGCTTTCAATCATATTACTTTTACAAAGTTATCAAATTATCATTCCCAAGTTTATTTGAATGATTAGTTAGTATATCAGCATTGGCAAGTTGTTTTCTACATATTTTACAGGAATACACCATTGACATCTTCTTTGCCCAGACATGGTACGACGGCAGACTGAAGTTCAACAGCTCAATGAAGCTACTTATGCTCAACAGCAACATGGTAGGCAAAATCTGGATTCCTGACACATTCTTCAGAAATTCCAGAAAATCAGACGCCCACTGGATCACCACACCAAACCGCCTTCTGAGGCTGTGGAGCAATGGTAGAGTGATGTACACACTGAGGTAGGTAAAGGCAATAATGCAACCAATTTGCTCATCTTTGTTGAAGCCTTCTCGGCAGAAATGATTCGCTCAGAATATATTTGTTGTTTGTGCTTCTTTTGTCTGTGCATCTCTATTAGTTATTGTTAAGGAATTATTCCTCCAGAAGTAGTAGAAGAACATTGTTGAGGAATTTCACTTTGTTATGAGAACTATCGATAATCGTCTCTGTCCTGAACATCTGCTGAAGTGCTTAAAACAAAGAATGTAGTGTGAAGTTTAGATCCTATTTCCCCTTGAGTGATTAACAGCCCCCAAGTGTCTTCTTCTGGTCTCCTATCTCTGCTGTGCCCCTCAGGGCTGTCAAGTTCCCTGAGAAAGGAACTCCAATCTCATAATTTGTGCACAGCAGATATGGTCTGTACTTTGTCAAAATGCCAAGATCGAACTGCATTGACCTTTCTTTGTTTCTGATTTTTACATAAGGGGAAGGACTGCCCGCCCCTCATTAACATAGTATGCCTATATAAACGTGTGACCAGTGGCGGGCCGTGCATTTCAACCTTAGGCCTTCAGTGACGTCACATACATACACAATATAGGCTGGTCAAGCAGCACTTAATTTCAGGAGCATTTAAAACCATCAAGTATGTATTCCCAATTAAGAGCAGGAAACTAAATTTACAGATATTGTCCAAAATAAAAAGATGATTTAAAAATACGAAATAAAATGCCACCCAAATTACGCTGTGATCTTAAACGAGTCTGTCCAATAAATTGCGCAATGTCGCAGTTTCATATAAGACACCAACCAAACAATAACAAAACAAACTATTCTTTGAAAATAAAGTAAACAGATTATTTGCATTTTGAAAATCGGCGATACAACAGCAAATAACTGACATAACTGACTAACTAATAACTGACTAACAGCTGAGATTGAACGAACTTTCGTGCAGGAAGGTGACTACAATGCGCCATTATAAATTGCAGGTGAGCAGATTTATTTGATACACGTTTGTCATTTTATTTCGTTACCATGAATTTAATACTAACGATTGAAAATCGGCGATACAACAGCAAATAACTGACATAACTGACTAACTAATAACTGAC